CCCAGGCCTGGGGGATGGGCCCATGGGCCACCCCCCTGGAACCCCAGCCCTTCTCTGCTCAGACAGGAGCCCCCCCCAGCCACAGAAGGAAGGAGGACATTTGCATGAGGAGCCCCCTTCCCTCAGGATAAGAGAGGCCTGGGGGCCCTCCCCGCTGTGGGCTGAGACGCAGAGCTCTGGGGTGTCTCCACCATGGCCTGGACCCCTCTCCTGCTCCCCCTCCTCACTCTCTGCGCAGGTACTGCCCCCAGGGCTCAGCCCCACACAACCAGGGAGCAGCCTGGCCTGAACTTCAGCTCAGCACAGGGGGTGCTGCAGGGGGTGGGGCCCTCTGGGAAGGAGACCCTCAGCCTCAGGCTCACCTCTCCTGTCTACTCCTGCAGGCTCTGTGACCTCCTCTGCACCTGCTCAGCCACCTGTGGTATCTGTGGCCCCGGGAGAGCCGGCCAGGATCATCTGAGAGAGAGATGACTTAGCAAGGTTTATTCTCACTGGTACCAGCAGAAGACGGGCCAGAGCCCTGCCATGCTCATCTGTGATGACACAAACAGGGCCTCAGGGGTCCCAGGCCGATTCTCTGGCTCCAGGTCAGGTGGAACGGCCACCCTGACCATCTCTGGGGCCCAGGCTGAAGACGAGGCTGACTACTATTGTCAGATGTGGGATAATGACAATTACGTTTCCCACAGTAACACAGGCAGATGGGGAAGTGAGACACAAACCTCTGTCTTTGTTTGGGTCACACTTCAGTTTCAGGAGGACTAGGGACATAGGCAGGATCAGAGTGGTCCCAAGTCACCTAGGCCTGAGCCTCCGGCTGCCCTTTCCTCTCCGCACTCCATGCAGGCTGTGTGAAGTGCGTGTCAGGGGTGGGTTCAGGGCTGACAGAAACAGGCTGTCCTGCTGTGGTCTGTGCTACAGTGTGAGTTTCAGGACAGGCCAGGAGTGGACATTAGAGGAGAGGGAGATGTCTGTCCATAGTCGTGATATTCATTTGGTGGTGACTGAACCAGCCTTGGCAGAAATATCTTGGCCCAGATTCTAGACCTGCCCAGCTCTGCTTCCCTCCACAAGTCCCAGGCTTGCATGGCACCATGAGATTTTGAACAGAGATACCTGCGTCTTGGGCCCTGTGCTCTAAGTCCAGACCCCTCCTCAGGGCTGACCCACCACCCAGCACTGCCGGGAGCTCTGGCAGCTCAGGGCTGGACCCTCCCTGGGAGATGCTGACATTCCATAAAACTGCCTCCCAGGGTTCATGCCTTCCCTAGGTTGGTTTGGTTTGATGACATCACTTCACCCCTGGCCAGATTCACATGGAAGTGACCCTGAGAGATTCAGCTCA